GTTAAAAATCTATAATTTTATATACAAGCTGATATTTTAAAGCTAGCAACTCGTTTTAACTTAAAATAATAATTACGTTGAAAAAATTAATTTGGTATTTATTAGTTTCATATATTTCTCAATTTTTAGTTAATTTGTTTCTTTTTAAATTCATCCCTAATATATTGTCAGGGTAATAACTTTATTTTTTTAAGTAGCTTATAAAAAAAAATTATCTAATTAAAAATAATGGATGATAACAAGTTTTAACCCATTATTTTGGAAATAATTAACATTTTTATACCTACATAGACGGAAAGAGAAGTACAACCGAAAATATCTAATGATAAATATTGTCATACCATTTCTTTCATTCTGTATTCTAAAATGATAAGAACATCTAAAACAATGGACTCAAAATTTGCAATCGATCAGTCATTTTCTTAACTGAACCATTTTTTATTTTATAAATCATGAAACTTGTAATCAGAATAAAAATAAGGAAATAGGAGATCATGTAGCTTTTGGAATAATCCATTAATTTTTTTTAATTAAACATTATCTACAAATTTGTAGCGAAGCCATTTTATGATAGTGATTTTAATCATTGTCAGATATCATCTATACTGGACCCAACTATGCCACATCTCCACTTTGCTAGGTTTTTTATTTGTATTAAAGTTGAGAATCATTCAAATACACATGCTTGAAACGTTAACATGATTGTTTCAACAAATGGAAATTATTTGCAAGTTATTAGTAGTGTTATAAATTCAAATGATTTACATTTTAACAATGAATTCAAATAAACATAAAATAATTAGGTAATCAGTATAATTAGTTAATTTTGTTATTTTTAGTTCAATTAATTTATTAAAAGATAATTATAATATATATAAAAAAATTATAGCTACTAGTTATATATAATAAATTGTTAGTTTTATTAAAAGATGTAATAAATTCTAACAGCTTAAATAGTTTACAGAATATATCTATTATCATTCTTGTACCATACATTTTTAATTTGGTAAATATTGGCTTCCTAAGTTTTATGCATTTAAAGGACTCTTTAAAAATTAGCATTTCTATGGCTTCTTAAAAACGAGAATTTTTATGGCTTTTTTAAAACAAGCGTTTCTATGGCTTCTTAAAAACAAGCGTTTCTATGGCTTCTTAAAAACGAGCATTTCTATGGCTTCTAAAAATGAGCATTTCTATGGCTTCT